GAAGACTATGTCAATGGCTGCCCTCTGCTCAGTCACCCTAATGCTATCAGCTCCCAACTGCAAACTCTCCCAATCTCTCTGGTAGCTTTAGATTCAGCAAGCTGGGTTAAGCCTGCTCAGTATGAGTGTGGTTTGCCCTCCAATTTGGAAACTTATAAAGGGAGAGAAACAAATTCTTGACCCTGCTTTTCTTAGTCCCAAACCAGTCTAGCCAATAGGAGTATCCCCCAACCACCCCCCCAGACAGGGTTTCTCTGTGTAGCCCTGGCTGAACTTACTCTGTAGACCAGGCTGGCCTGGAACTCAGAGATCTGCCTACCTCTGCCTCCCGAGTGCTGGAATCAAAAGCATGCACCACCACTGGTTTTAAAAGCGGTACTTTTAAACACCACCATTTGAGAATGTCAGTTCGTCCTATATCTACATTGTACCTGAACATGGAAGCAAGGGGATCAATTACCACAAATGAACCCGAGGTTCTAGTCTCTTTCTCCATGCCAAGCTCGCTGACATGTTTCTCTCAAGAGGGGCGGCTGTGTGGCCTGTTCTTTGGATCATGGAAAGCACCCTCTCATAGTGCCTTTTTGTAAACCATATATTTGTTTTTTGTGTGTGCTGTATGTATGTGTACGCGTGTGTAGTCATGCTTGAATGTGTGTGCTCACAAGTGTGGAGACCAGAAGTCAATGTCAAACCTCTTTCTCTATCATTCTCCACTTCTTCTTTTGAGATTATAAACAAAAACCAAAACCAAAAAAAAAAAACCCCCAAAAAAACCCAAAAAAAAAACCCCAAAAAACCCAACCTTATGTGTATGGGTGTTTTTACCTGTGTATGACATCTCTGCAGTTCTGAGGAGACCCAAAGAGTGTATTGAATACCGTGGAACTGAAGTTAGAGACGGTTGTTAGCTGCCAACCATGGATTTTCTGGCAAAGCAGTCAATAATCTTCACTGAATCATCTCTCCAGCCGCTCTACCGTATTTTTTTGAGACAGGATCTTTCACTGAACCTGGAGCTCACTGATTGAACAAGACTAGCTAGCTAGTGAGCAAGCTCCAGGGAACTTTCTGTCTCCACCTCCCCAGGGCTAGGATTACATCTGTGTGCCTTTACACTGGCGTTGGGTGTCCTACCTCCACCAGTTGTCCTTGTTTCGGACCCATGTCTCTGAGAACATATCCTAAGTCCGTCCCAAGAGGAAAGGTGGCTTGCTGTAGACCAAGTGCATGCCCTCTCACAAATGACTTTTATCTCCCCGTGTGCATATTGGAAGATGAGCTGATCCGGGAGGTCACCATCAATTGCGCAGAGAGAGGGCTGCTGTTGCTGCGTGTCCGGGATGAGATCCGCATGACCATCGCTGCTTACCAGACTCTGTATGAGAGCAGTGTGGCGTTTGGCATGAGGAAGGCACTGCAGGCCGAACAGGGGAAGTCAGACATGGAGAGGAAAGTGAGTGGGGTTGACCATGTTCCCATGGCTCCCAGATGCTTCTGTAAATCTCAGGGCCTGCAGTTGTCATTGTAACCCTGAATTTTGGCCCCGAGGGTATCCTCCACACTAATACTGCAAGGTCTCAGTGAGGAGTGGTCTTGTCTAAGGACACTCCATGTCAGTCACTGACCTCCCACTGGGTGGCAGTACATACCCTGGCATTGTCTTAGGTTGTGTCTCAAGTCACCTCACCCAGGTTCTTACAATGCTCATCCACTTGGGGATGTCCCAGGATGATGGCCATTCTATCTTCAGATTACAGAATTGGAGACAGAAAAGAGAGACTTGGAGAGGCAAGTGAATGAGCAGAAGGCGAAGTGCGAGGCCACCGAGAAGCGGGAGAGCGAGAGGCGACAGGTGGAGGAGAAGAAGCACAATGAGGAGATCCAGTTCCTGAAACGGACCAATCAGCAACTGAAGGTAAAAGGGCCCAGGTCCAGGCTCCTGCCTAAGGGGCTAGACCTACAGAGTGTTTCCCACTGGTGACTCCATTTGTTTCTTCAGTTTTTGAAGTAGTGGAGGTTCAATGTCGTGAAGAACACTAGGCAGATATTATACCCTTAAACTCCATCTCCAGCCCTTGTTTTTCCCTTTCTTGTTTGGATTTTTGGAGTCAGGGTCTCATGTAGCTCAGGCTAACCTTTAGTTCACATTCTTCCTTCTTAGTGTCTGGGATTACAGCCAAGCACCACCACGCCCAGCTCTCCTTTCATTTTTCTTTTAAAGAGTTTTTACGCTGTTTTAAAAAAATCTGTATGGATGTTTTGCATGCATGCTCACACACCCACATATATACTTGTTGTATCCCCTGGAACTGCTGGATGGTTGTAAGCTACCTCGTGGGCGCTAGGAAACAAGCACAGATCTTCAAGAGCCATGAGTACTCTTACCAGCCGAGCTATCTTTCCATCCCGTCTTTTAGTTTTCAGTTGGAAACAGGACCCAAGTTTCCCAGGCTTTCCTTGAACTCATTCTAGCCTAGGGAAGCCTTGAACTTGAAATTCTGCTTTTGTCTTTCCAGTAACTGTGGTTACAAGTCTGTGCCCATGGCTTTTAAATGTTGGCCCGCTTGTACTGGCAAGGCGTAAGGGAGGCTGACTGGGGTAGGGTATGGCTTCCTTTTTGTGTTCTTTTTACCTTTAGTTCTGAAGGAAGCCTATTCTCAGCAATAGAAAGTACCTCAGCCTACCTTTACACTGTAGAGCCATCTCATGCCTGCCAATCTGTTTTCCTCCTGGGAAAAAGACGCTCATAACCAGAGAGGATGCAACAGTGTCTGTCCCCTCAAGCTGATCATTGTTCTCTTCCTGCATGGAAGGAGGCTTCCTCAGCATGCTCCAACCGGAGTGTTATCTCCCCTGATGCCCTGCACCCCCAGCATCTTGATGCACTCTGGCAGCAGAGAAAGCTTTTGAGAGGAAGTGTGTGTGGGAAGCCCCTAAGTGAATGCCAGAGGGACCCTGCTATAGCTGGTTTTCCTCAACCCAACTGAGGTGCTGGGAAAGAGGGCTGGGTGGGAAAGAGATGAGATTACAGGTGGCAAGGCCTGAGCTCCAGGCAAGCATCACTGCTTATCACAGGGCAACTTTTCCCCTCCGACCCACTTTTTTGAGACAGAGTTTCTCTATGTAGCCCTGGTTATCCTGGAACTGTAGACCAAGCTGACCCTGAACTCAAAAATCAGTCTGCCTCTGCCTCCCAAGTGATGCGATTAAAAGCTACAGGACAATGCTTATAAACAAGTATTGGCCACCCCCAGATATGCTGAGCAGAAGCTACAGGGCTTGTGCCCTACCGTGCAGCTTAACAAGGCCTTGTAAGAGCCAGGCAGTGGTGGCGCACGCCTTTAGTCCCAGCACCTGGGAGGCAGAGGCAGGTGGATTTCTGGCTTGTTGTGGGCTGAACTTCACTTCTAAATATGGTACCTATAAGCAGCTTCCTCCTCCCTCCCTCACTTAGAGCCAAAGTTCTTGTGCTTGAGATAAGGAAGGCTTTGTATGAGCCATCAGCAGAGGATAAGAGATTTTGATAGTTGCTGAAGAGTCTATTAGAATCAGAGCTAGAGACTTCCCCAGCCAGATGTAAACCATTGACTCAGCAGATTCCAAAGCTGGTTTCTTAGTTCCAACAAGAGTAACAGCTGAATACCTTAGCATCCTTCTAACATCCAAAGGCAGCCTTGAAATCCCTAGGGTGAAGGATTCTTTACAAGCAAGTTCTTTTATTGGCTCAAAGCTGCACTACAAAGAAAATAGTGTTTTGGGTCCCCAGGATAGACCCTAAGGGTCTGTCCACGTATCACTGTGTCAATCAGTGCTAGCTGGCTGCTAGAGGGAGTAAATAACCCCCTAGAGTCCTAGCTTTCCCTACGAACTGGTAGCAATTTCCTCTAATTGAGTGTCAAGTTGTCACAGTGGCTGATAATGTGCTGTTTTAAGACTTCTGGTTCCAGCAGAGCTCCGTGTACTAACCCAGGGAGGCAAATGTTTAACTTAGTGGACATACTCAGGCTTAAAGTAGGAGCTTTGGAAAACCACTATTCCCACAACCTTTACTGCATTTCCATTTCGGTGCTATAGTACACTGAGCTATTACTGTATGGAAACCAGGTCAGCTCTGGTTTCGGCTCATGGAACAACCATGCCAAGCCTGAAGCCAGCTCATCTAGAAAATGTGGAGCTGGGTCAGAAGAGGGCATGCTCGGAGTGGGGGCCTCTGGGCTATTCCTTCTAGGCTTAGCCACATACATGTTGCGGTGCAAGATACAAATATTAATGGAGTTTTGTTTTTATTTTAGGCCCAACTGGAAGGCATTATCGCACCGAAGAAGTGATAATATGGGTCTCAGCAGGCCCCTTGCCCCATAAGCTCATTGTAATAAAAAGCCAGTTTCCTGAGCCAACAAGCCATCCCCTCCCCGGTCACCACTCCTGTAATTGTTACAACTGTTGTCCCAGAGTCATGAAACACTTATGGTCTGACAGCCAGGCTCCTGGCTGGGCAATGGAAGGTGGTGGAACCCTGTGTCCATGGGCAGCTTATAAATTGGCCTAGGGCTTTGTCATCTCACTGACTTAGGGAGCAAGTGTTTCCCCAAAGAGATTACCTTTGCACCAAGTTCAGTTCCCAGCTCAAGCTGCACCTCGGGCTTCTCTGGCCCCACCCTTCCACGTCACCTCTCTAGTGTAAGTTTCAGCGACTCAGTTCAGTTTGGTTTTGGACTATATCCTCTCATTCCCACCCGAGTCAGCAGGACCCTGTCCTTAGTCTTCCTGGCTCCAGGAGGAAACAGAAGCAGAGTCAAAGCCATGCTCACTGAGAGGTACGAAGGTCCCCGTGTCTTGAGAGCTGTCTGCACCCCAGGTCCTCACCACACGGTTAGAATACCTTCTGCTGGATGGCAAAGCCTGAGTCCACATTCCCTAACTAGCTATTAATCAACAGCTAAGGAGGTAGCCACATCTCACATGTAGTTCTAGACTAATTATGAACTGAAGGCAGATTTGTAGAACCAGAAAATTTTAATTACAGACCAATCTCCATTGGGGGAAAGCCCAGGGTGGGAGAAGAGAATGGCTTGGTGACACCCATCATTCAGTCAAGTGACAGAACTGTTCTAAGCTGGCACTAACATTTCCATCCAATTGGTGGGAATGCCTTAAGTGCACAGTAGCCCTGAAGGGGGGCCAGAAGGGGTTCACTCCTTGACAGCTCTGACCTCCATCCCAGTCTTACTGCAAGGAACCCCAAGAGCTGTCCTGAGTTGACTATATCCCAACACTGACCTTATACTAGGATCACATCTTGGACCTCACCCAGTATCCTGAGGAATTAGGTCTCCACTAGCATAACCTGCCTGTGAAGTCATGTTCCTGGATCAGCACCGTCCCTGTGGTGTGCTGGCTTTGTGAGCAGTGCAGGAAAGCATCTGTACCTAACAAGCTGACGTTGCTGGAGCACCCCTCCTGCCTCCAAGCCTCACCTGAATGTCTCTGAAGCACTTGTGCTTTACAGCTTTGTGAACTCCTGCCCCAGTGCTGCTCAGTAGTGTAAGAAAAACAGGCATGTCTGTAGACACACACAAGAGGGTCACACACTGGAGGAACTAAGGGCCAGGTCAAGTGCCAGGTCAAGTGTTTGAAAAACTCTGGGGCTGAGGACTTCCTGAGGCCACAGATTTGGGGTATGCCCTTACCACTAAGCTTTCCAAGTGTGCCGTGCCTTATAGATGCAAACTGGGCACAAGAAAATGAACACAGTTCCTAATGACATATTTTTGTATAATTTAATAAACAGCTTTCTAGCTGTTACTGCTTCTGTCTGAACTTCTTGTGTCTGTGTTTCTGTCCCTCTGAGTCACTTGTCTTCTTTTTGTTCCTGTTTCTGTTTTTCACGTTGTGTGTTTCATAGTAGCGCACACCGACTTTTTTGGATTGTTGCTGTCGTGCTGCTCTTCTCCGCTGCAAACGTACAAGAGAAAGGAAACGAGTCACACACTGACGGTCACCCCTCATCCTGCCTGTGCAGCTCCCACAGTAATGGCAGCAGAGCTGGGGGGCTGTCCACCTCAGACCTGGGGACCAGCAGCAGACTCTCACTGGCCGGGCCTCATCCCTCTCCCCAGCTCCTTTCCAAAGCTATCCTTCCCAGGAGTCAGTCATCTGCCTGCCTCTCCAGCTGTACTCTACCTCCCTGAAGCCACACAAAATCTTCCAGTTCTTTAGGACAATAGGACACAGGTGTGACGGTGATAACCTAGAACTCGTGAAACCTAAAACTTAGACTCAAGGGCCTTCATTCCATGAGCCACTTCCTGACCTAAATTAAATCACTTCCGTCAGATCACTAACACGGGGTTTCTAGGACTCCCAGCGCTAATCTCTTGTTTCAGAAAGAATGAGTGCTGGGAACTGGAATTTTTGGCTGGTATGATAGCTTACACCTGCAATCCCACCACTTGAGGTACTAAGAGAAGATAGGGGACTTCCTGAGTCTGAGGATAACCAAGGCCTGCACACCAAGAGCCTGCCTCAAAAATAAAAACAAAAACTAAACAAACAAGAGTGGCTCAGGAGCTCCATTCCCAGCACCGAGCAACAAGCTATCCTTTGATCTCCAGGTGCTCACCAAGTCTTGAGATGCCTGCACACACGCATGCATATAAAAGAAAGGAAAACAAACCTCCAAACGGACTTCTGCTCTTTTGTTTGATTTCTTCCCCCATGACAGGGTCACAGTATGCAGCCCTGGCTGTCCGAGGACTCACTGTGTAAACCAGGCAGCCTCCCGCCTGCCTCTGCCTCCCAAACTAGGACTAAGAGGATTCCTACCTTTTGTGCCATATCTCATGAAAAGCAGCAGAATACTTACTTCCTTACACGTCAGCATCCTCTGAGTCTTATTTGAAGGTTCTTCCTCCATCTGTGCACTCCATTTCCTTGCCTTTTTGGAGGGTGCTAGATACAAATGACACATAAAACATAGAGGAGATTAACAATAGAAACAGCATTTCAAAATCTGGACGACTACCATGGGAACAACCCCCGTGTAAGGAGGCAGACAGATGCAGGGTTACAAGCAGGCCATGCTCATAGTGGGGTTCAACTTGCATCATGTGGAAACTATCAGTAACTTTATGAAATACCTGTCGTGGTTTGAATGAAAGCAGCCACTTTAAGCTCTTATGTTTGAATACTTGGCCCCCAATCGATGGAACTACTTGGAAAGTGATGTGTGTCACAGAGGTGGACTCTGAGGCTAAACATCCCCAATGCACTGCTTCTTGTTTGGTCACGTGGTATATATCACAGCAACAGAAAAGACAGACCTCCTGCCTCAATTCTTCTGCAGACTCTTCTGTCTAACTCTGAAGCTATTAATATGCACTTTTGTCAAGCAGTATTCCTAAGCCATCAACTGTATCTTTAGAAATGTGCAGAATCTCAAGTGGAGAATTCAGTGTGCATGGTAAGTAGAACATGGACCAGATGCTAACTAAGTGCCTGCCTGTATGAGAGGATGTTATCCCAAAGCTACAAATCACATCTAAAGGGTTCAAAGAACTGATCTCACCTGCATCACTGACATCTGCAGATGTTTTCTTCTCTTCTTCATATTTTGCAAAAACCTTTTCACTTAAGTCCTTGGAAATTCTGAAAAATAAAAGCAAAGTCACACAGCTGCTCCTTTTTAACCGCTCTGAAAAGGCCAATGTGGAGAGGTGGAACACTCGTGAAGAAAAGGAAATTCGCCACGTTTGTGGTGATCGCTGGTGATACAGCCAATGCCCAGCAGTTTGTACAGCTCCTGGGCTGGAATACTAGGTAGCCAAGCCCCATGTACTTCAGGTGGCTGAAGATGAGAAATTTACAGACTTTTCTTTTTTTTTTTTTGGTTTTTCGAGACAGGGTTTCTCTGTGTAGCCCTGGCTGTCCTGGAACTCACGCTGTAGACCAGGCTAGTCTCGAACTCTCGAACTCAGAAATCCGCCTGCCTCTGCCTCCCAAGTGCTGGGATTAAAGGCGTGCGCCACCACCGCCCGGCTCAGACTTTTCTTTAAAGCAACCATTCCTAGCTCCCTGTTCAGACTGGGACTATGGCTAGGCGGTGGGGCACTTGCCTGATAGACACAGACCCTGGCTTCTGTCCTAAATACTTTAAAAACCTAATGTTCATGGCAAGTGAGAACAGAACAGGTAAGCTAATTAGTAAGAAGAAAGATTACCTAACGGCAGAGAACTTTTTAGCTTTGGCTTTATTTAGAAACTTCTGGTACTTGGCAATCTTCTCATCTAGGGCTCTGATCACAGCTTTGGTGTCATTTTCTACTGGTTCTTCCTGAGTGTCTAGGGAACACTCTTCCTCAGCATCCTCTCCTGGCTGTTCCTCCTGCTCCTGATCTTCCTCTTCCACAGAGCTTTCCAGATCTTCCAAGTCTGACATCTCCACAGGTACCAGGTCGTCCTCAGAAAACTGAGGCCCCACGTTGATTTTGCCAAAGTTCTGGCGAACCCGTGCGAGGATCTGTTGCATCTCTGAGTTTCCATCCTGGGAACAGCCTGCTTCTGGCTCCTTTTCAATGGTAGGGTCTGACCTTTCAACTTCTGTTTCTGTGGTCTCTTCTTCTGGGTTGTTGTGGGTTGTTTCTGTGGGAACTTCCAATGGTGAGGAGGGTGGAAGCTAGTGAGGACCAAAAGATGTGGGAAAAGGGGAAAATGGAATCAGAAAAGGAGAACCATGCTTCAACTGCTACTGGCTCTCAGATAAGCAGCTCTCCTCTCGGATCTAAGCCAATGGAACTCAACACAGCAGCCAGCACTAAATCCTTTGATGCTTTATAAAGGACAGAGCTGTGGTTTAGGAGGAAGGGAACCAACCCAATGAAACCAAGACAGTGGTGTCCTTTTTGGGTATTAGGAAAAAGGGGGCAAAGGAGGCACATAGAAAAATAGAAGACACAAATCCAAGAAAGTGGAAGCGAGGCTAAAGGAGTACCAGGAAGTATAAGGAGAGAGGTGGGGAGGCCAGGGTTCAGAATGAGCGCAGAGTCCAAACACTGAGATGAGTGGCCTATTGTAGGTATTCATGCAAAGTCAGCATGTGCCAAGCTTTCCACAGCATTTCACATTTGGCTCATTTTATCCCTGTGACCCAAACTCACGCAATGACTCTCCAAAGTCGAGAGTGGCTGGGTAAAATGTTAAACAAGTCCAAAATCCATAAAATGCAGGAAACTGAATAAAAGTTTGCACATTTTTGAGTTAGCAAATTGGCTCAGCAGGTAAAGGCACTTGCTGCCCAATCTGACAACCTGAGCTCAACCCCCAGAATTCACATAGTGAAAGGCAAGAACCAACTCCCCAAACTTGTTCACAGATCCTCACGTGTATCATGGTACATGTTTGTGTGTACCCAAGTATATCCACATGGGCATACACATACTAATTTTAAGTTTGTATATTTTGTAGTGACTTCTAAATTCCTAAATTCTAAAATTCCTAAATACACAGAGGGTTGTATTTAGAATTTCTAAATTCCTAAATTCTAAATACACAGAGGGTTTCTCTGTGTAGCCTTGGCTGTTCCAGATTGCTCTCTATAGACCAGGCTGGCCTCAAACAGAAATCCACCTGACTCTGCCTTCTAAGTGCTGGGATTAAAGATATGAGTCATCATGACTGGCAATTTCTAGCTTCTGATCTTTAAAGAAGGCTCAGTGAGCATTGACTGCTCTTCCAGAAAAATCCAGGTTCAATTCCCAGCAACCATATGGTGACACACAATCAACTATAATGTACTCATATAAATAAAACAAATAAATCTTTAAAAAAAAAAAAAAGGATAATTGTGCTTACGAGTTAGATCTCTGTGAAGGTATCTGTTCTCAGAAGCCTTCCCCAACTTCCATTCACAAATCCTACTTTGACACCTTCAACCCCTCATCCTGGTAGAATGCTCACAGAACCCAATTCCCTGAACTCAGCTGTATTCAAGCCGAATAAACATACATTCTTGGCAGAGGGCCTAAACCCTCTGGATACTCCTGAGGGATGTATCATCTTCCCATATGCATACGGAACGCCTTTCCAGCACACCTGAATGGAAGCTAATGTGCTATAGGCTGGGAACCTAGCTGACTTCAGATAGGACCTGTTCACTAGAAAGATTCAGGCAATACGCACAGTTTTACCTCCAACCTTTGGGGAAAGAAGAGGGGCCAGAGACTGAGCGGAATCACCTACAGCCACTGATTCACATACATAAAGAAACACTCCTCCAGGATGGTAAAGACCCTGATATGCCTACCCAGTGTGAGAACAGAAATTGCTGTTTGTAAAAACTAAGTCTGGATCTTCCTCCCAGCCCCATGCTCCCAGAAATAAGACTGAGACGCAAAATGTATTTACAAATACCGTGGCCATATAACTAGGCTCTTCCCCGATTAGATCATAACTTCAAATAACTCTAATCTACATTTTGTCACATGGCTGGTCACCTGTGCTCAGATAACATGTATCCATCTCCTCACATCTTCCTGGGTGAGTCTCCTGTACCTGGCACTATTCCAGAATCCTCTTGCCTACAGGATGCCCCACCTGCTATTTCCTAACCAAATTTATTATTGACAGGTGCCATATCCATACAAACACAAGCTATTTCCTCTACAGCTGTCTCTTCCTGACCTTGCCTAGGCATGGCTTCCACTGAGCTGCTCTGACCTTTGGCCTTTGACGTGAACTGGTAACCACAGATAAAGTATTTTGCTGAGTTTCTCCTCTAGCAAATCACACCACAGAGCCTTGAATTTGTAGCTGACTGAGTGTAACTGTAATGCTAAGGGGGAGCAGGCTGTGGGACTCAAGTCCAGGATTCGTGGAGTCTCCACTAATCCCAGAAGTTAAAATCAGAACTACTAGAGTCAGAGACCTGTAGAAGTGGAGTGGACATCCACTACACACACCCGCCATCCACTACACACACCTGATATGCACTACACACACCTGCCATCCACTACACACACCCGACATCCACTACACACACCCGACATCCACTACACACACCCGACATCCACTACACACACCCGACATCCACTACACACACCCGACATCCACTACACACAACTGACATCCACTACACACACCTGACATCCACTACACACATGTACTTGCACTTACACACCTGAGCTCCATGCCCCACTAGAATCTAAGTCCATGAGGGTAGGGACTTGCCTGCTTTTTATGGCGGCCCCTCTGCCCTAGAGGGCTAGAAGCTTCACCCTGGTTGTTGAATGACTGGATTAATGAGTGAATAAATGCTATCATTTACAGAGCAGTGAGACAGAGGAACTGCTGCTGTACTTGGTTGGCTGTGGTTTTCGAGAGAAGAGGGAGGAAAGGCAGATAATGTCAATCTCAGGCATGCTAAGTCTTTTTCTCTGTGTGTCCATGGCTAGTCTGCCTCTGCTTTAGGTGTGTGCACCACTGCCACCTGACAGCATGCTAAGTTTTTAATGCTGGAGAAAAATACCCAAATGGACCCATCCTGCTTTAGTTAAGAGGTATTTCCAGGAGAAGACCAGAGCTACAAGAATCCCAATAATGGAACACAGAAACAAAACCCAAAGCCATCACTTCCAGAGACCCACTGAATTCTGAAAAGGGACCTAGAAACAGGCCAAGCCACCATCAAGGAAAAAGCTATGGGGCAGTAGAGAGTTTCCTGTCTGTGTCCCAGCTCAGTCCCCAAGCCCAACACCTCCTGACCAGACACTATCAACTCCACTGCTCCCCTGCCCGTAAGCTCCCAGCTCTCCTTAGAGCAAGGGCTCCTATTCACCTCCTTGTTCTCCGAGGCTGTGGTCGGTCACTATGAGAAAAGGTTTCTTCATGAATGAACTCTGGCAACACCTCTGCTCCCACAGAGGCAGCCATTTAACAAATATGACTTTCTCCTCCCCTCCTCCCAGCCACACAGGCTGCTGTCTACTCTCACGCCTGTCTCACTCTGCTCATTTGTCTCTGATGCTCTTCAACAAGTCTATGCAATGGAATGATACACATATACCAAAAATGAAGAAGGTGTGCCCTGAGGGAAATAACCATAAGTTATATATTAGGGTCATTTGACCCCACTTTCCAGGACCTGTGTTCACCCTCTTCTTACCTGAGGAGCTGTCGGTAGCTCTGCGTTGGGCGGCTTGACAAAGAAAGGGATCCGGCCTCTCTGCCAGTCGTTGAGAACCATCTTGCTCACAGTCAGCAAGTCAGGCTCTCCACCCTGAAAAGACAGGACAGACTCCCAGTTAAACCCACAGAGCAAAAGCTCTTTTGGATGAGGGAGGGCCACTTTAGTCACTCTGCTCCTCACCATCCAGCTGACACAGTTCCCACCCCTCTCACAATGGCAGCTCCGTGTATCCCAGTGCCAATCCCCAAGACATTGGCTTACCTTCAGTAACTTCCCAGTGCGGAGAGCTAGCTTCTCAAGAAAATCCTCAGCATTCTCCCAGGACTCAATCTTGTATGTCTTGCTGATATATTCTGGCTTTGCTCGTTCAAGGACAGCACCAATGTGGTCTTGAGGAGCTTTAATTTTTTCAACTTGAACCTAGCGAGTAATAGAAATGTCGTGTTCAATTCTTTTGCACAGACAGGAGAATTCAGTGATTTTTATAAAGTGAAATGGATTTCCATATCACAAGGTGAGTGGGGCTTTGCTGTGTCTGTGATAGTTTGACAGGGGCAAGGAACACCCCTGAAAGCTGACCACAGCCACAGAGCCCAGAGATCAACTCTAATCCTACTTTACCACAGACTGCGTGCGGCCTCCACAGGCAGTTTGAACTTGGAATGCTCTGTGTTACTCACTGGCAGGAACAATTTAGATGCCTGCTACCCCCCAGAACCCAGAACACAAAAAGCAATCCAAGAATTTCAGAAGGATGGGAGGAATGTGCAGAGGACATATGCTAGAAGCATGGTTATGGTTAAGGGGAATCATTTAAGTTTTCAGTCATATTCAGAAACAAGTGAGGAAACGACTGGGTTCCAAGATGACTCAATCCATAAACCCATGAAGATGAATTATCACTAAGCATAAACAAGCCCTGCTTCCCTTCGGATCACATGTGGTTACTGCATACTGCTGTGGGATGACACTGACCAGATATGCCCACAGCCCCTCAACCTCCTGAGGTAGGCTGAGTGGAAAGGAGGTTGTTCTGTTCAGCATCATGTCTCTGCATCTGGTTAGACAGACTGACCCCAGACTGCCTTCTGAACAAGGAGTGGCAAAGACTCTCAGGGATCCCCACAAATGAAAACAGAACTGTTAAGGACAAATACCCACCACTCCTTTGAGCACAATGTCGGTCTCTGAGTCCTCAGATGGGTAAACCACACCAGGGCAGTCAATCAGGAATATACGGCGCATCAAGGTAATATATTGCCAGACCTGCAGACAAGAAATTCTGAGTTTGCCAAAGTCAAATACTGAGAGCTTAACTTCACTAATCTGTGACATTGCCATAGTAAGCTAGAAAGGAGGGAAGGGAGGGCCAGAGAAAAGCAACCTGCTGAATAATCAGGCCAGAGTCTATCCTTTACTTGAGCCAAGTATGACAACTTCCACCAACCACAAAGTTGAGTTCCATCACTGAGAGTCCAAGAATAAGGCAGAGGCAGGATTTCCAATTGGTGTTGTGCAAAATCACCATAGCAAACTTCTCCAAGTCTTGAAAACATTCAGAAACACAGAGCTGCTAGCTTCTTTGCCACTAGGCAGAACAATGCTGTTCCCCAAACTCTCTCTGTTACAGCTGCTGACTTCTAAATATCAGAATCTATCTAAAGACCAAGTTTTCTTTCCTTATTAACCCAGACACCAAACATTCTTGGGTTGCTTTTATTAAAGCAGAAGGTTGGAGTTAGGGGATGTGGGGGCGGCTCTGTGGTTTAGAGCACTTGCTGCTCACCATGGTCAATACCTCTAGTTCAAGGGGATCTGGTGGCTGTTTCTGACTTCTGTTGGCAAGAGACATGTACACAGTGAACATACATACACATAGAATAAAAAATGAATAATCTTTTTTGTTTGTTTGTTTTGTTTTTTTCGAGACAGAGTTTCTCTGTGTAGCCCTGGCTGTCCTGGAACTCACACTGTAGACCAGGCTGGCCTTCGAACTCAGAAATCTGCCTGCCTCTGCCTCCCAAGTGCTGGGATTAAAGGCGTGTGCCACCACCGCCCGGCATGAATAATCTTTAAAAAAAGAATACAGGGGCAATTTACAAAGGACTTAAACATAGGCCATCAACCAAATCACACCACAGCCAACTGCTAGCATACAAGGCACACTCAACCTTGAGAAGCAGATAGGGACTGGATACCACACTCATTGCAGAACACTTGCCTAGCATACGTGTGATGTGTCCTAGGTTTGATCCCCAGTGCTGTTAAAGAAAGGAAGGGGACAGGAGGAAGGGAAGGGAAATCTCCATGTCTTAAACAGTCAAGTCTTCATAGAAATAAAATGTAGAGTAGAAACCATACACACCTTTGTTTCTCCTGCAATGGGGGCCACGTTGCAAACTTTTTTGGATCGTAACGTATTTATCACAGAGCTCTTGCCTACATTTGGATAGCCAATGAACCCAACACTGATTTGTTTCTTGTCTGTGTGCAACTGTGAAGAAAAAAAGTTAAGAAAAGAAGAGAATATCTATCATATATACTCGGCCATACTTCCCTTAGGGCGGTCAGTCTGTGTTACTAGGCTAATGGAAGGACTACTATACAGTAGGGCACTTAATCTGATGAGAAGCCTCAACACAAGCTGGCCTAACGGTCCAGGAGATACACATGTATTTACATGTCAGGAGAGAGCCATGACCTCAGGCACCCATGGAAAGCATCTTTGCTCTAGGTTAACGGGATGTACATCAGGAAGAGGCGGCTTGTCCATCTCCTCGTCACAGTGTATCAACAGCCACTGCAGAGACATCTTTAGGGAAGGAGCCTAAGAGATGACCACTGGAGACATGTGTGTCTAAACATGGCTGGAGCAGAGCAAAAGGCAGGTGTTCAAGTCCCAACTAAGTCTAAATACCAGGCAGTGAGACCATTCCTTTAGACCCTGCTGCTCCAGTGCTCCCAGAGCTAAATCTAGAAACTGGAAGAGTCTCTTACGGAGACAAACCCAAAGAAAATGCCCGTCCCTAATTAACGCAACCCCCTTCAGTGAGATCCACCACTGCAGTCTAGCAGTTCCCACGCCAGACAGAGACCAAGAGTCTATCCGAGCGAGCTGTGGGTACTTTTGCTTTCAAGTTGATACCATTCTCTGTTGCCTAGGGCAGTTTCAAACTCCTGAGCTAAAGTGATTTGGGGGGAGGAGTCTTGTCTCTGAGTAGCTGAGACTAGAAGCTTGGGCCACCATGCCTGGCATAGTACTTGAAGGCAGACCACAGGCTGAGAGCAACCAGTTCCTATTGGAAAGGGCTGGCTGAAAACTGGACCACCTGCTTGCCCAAGTTCTCTACCAGGTGTCTGCTCAAATGTTAAAGAAACAACAGAGCAAATGACTTGAAACAGAGACAAACTCCTGTACCAGTGTGGCAAGAGAGCGCCTGAGTGCACCTCAGTCGGAACACTGTGAATGCCAAGTGACACTCAGCCCAACACTGCTGTCCATAGTACAGAGAAGCAGAGTGAGTGAGAGATGTGTGGGGGAGATGAACACAAGTAACTGCACCACGCCCAGCATCAGGAGACAACAGGAGCCTGAGGTATGAGGTAGTATGGCTGCTGCAAATTCAAGACCAGCCCCAGCTACACAGTATGGAGCTAGCCTGCATCACAGTTCCATCTGTTCTCAAAACACCACAAAATGAAACCCTTTTCCATAAATGAGTTCAAGAGGAAAAGAGAGGGAGCATGCATGAGAGCCGTTTCTAACTGAGCTCATAGCTACAAGTGCTTGTTAGTATGAATAAGGCTCTGGGTTTAATGTCTAACTTTTTTTTTTTTTTAAAGAAGAAGAAAAAAGAAATAAAAAGAAAAAAACACCCAACAAAGACACTAACCTTAAACTTTTAAAGCAGGAAACATTTAATAAGTATGTAAAAATATAGGGAAGAGTTGGGGGAATCAAGAAATAAATCATAAGTGTGTATCAACACCATGTAGTTATTGAAATAGCAGAAATGATGACCAAGAGTCAAAAGTACTGCTTCTGGGAAATGAGGAAGGGTGTGACGGGAATCATGTCTTGTTAGAGCCAAGCAGAAGAGAAGGATCTGGTTCAGAATGTCCCTGAAGTGATGGGCTGGGCAGCTATCTTTTGACAAAGGCTGAACCACCAGGTGTTAGTGATACGGAGAATGGGCAAATGTGAAATGGGAAAGTGCTTCAGACCCTTCCTGATCCAGAGCGCCTGCAGGTTCTTATCCCTCTAGAAAACAGTGAGAAGTGAACACAACAGTTGTTGTTCTGAGACAGATTTCATTATGTAGCCCATACTGGCTTAACTTTTGGTCCTCTTGCCTCAACCTCTGATGTATTGACCTGACGTTAGCAACTTTAGACGCACGGCTGATGCACAGCCAGCCCATGGCCAGCCCACGCCCAGCCCACAAGCTGTGTAAATGGTCACACCACTCCAGCAGAGCAGCCTCCCTACCTTCCCAAACTGCCGCAGAAGCTGAATGAAAGCTCCTTTCCCAAAGGGATTAGTGAGACTCGCGTGGAAAGCCAATGTTGGGTAGTCCTGGGAGAGCACAGCAACCCATCGCTTCTAAAGGGGAGGAGAAAACACGCTGGTAAATTATAGCAGTTTGTTTACAATAGTCAGAAGAATCAGAGATGGAATTACCGGATGGCTTCAAATACAGTGTTGCCTAAGGGAAACAGCAGCTATAACTCTTTGAGATGCTTTTTCAAGTATGACAGTTAGTGCTTTGTCTTTTGTTTAATAACTGACTACAAAACAATATTCCAAAAACTATCCTAACTACTAAATGCAATTAATGGAACACAATGGGGAAGGAGTCAGTGACTTGGAACTGCCTCCACTGAGGGGACACAAGATGGAAGGTGGCTCTGCCCATGTCAGTGCACGTGTCGGCTCTCTTTTCAGTAAGGACATTAAGGACAATCCTCAGAGTGTGACACGTCAATGTCCTGTTGTTCAGAACCTATGCACTGATGAGCTGGTGAATGGCTTGCCCTGCTGGCCTCCACAGTGGGTTTTAGGTCATGAGCTAAACTTACTGTTGCCCAAGTTGGAACAAGGTCACACTTGTTGAGCACAAAGATGAGGTGTTTCCAGGGTTTTTCCTTTTTCAAGTAAGCTTCAATGTGAGGGGAACGTGTGCCCATTGGATCTCTAGCATCAAGAACTTGAACTACAACATCTGATGAGTCTATCACCTGCAAAGCCAAAGAGGCAGAAACGGTTGGCTACAGTACATACAAAACGAAGGGGGACATTTAAGGGGGCCCAATGGAATAAAACTGTGTTTTGAAGCAACTGCAAATAGTCTGGTAAGGGGAGTGAGCGGCATCCAGTCTCAATGCCCACTTATCAGCTCTTCAATTCAAGAATATTCAAAACTTGTCAAATTTCAATAGGAAAGCTAGCTTAGATCAAACTCATCTGGTTCACAAGCACCAGGTATTATCTATGGGTCTGTGTATTTTACGGAAAATTAAACTTGCCTAGTTTACCTTTATGGTCCTAGTTTCCTAGTATGACTTATCACATGGCATGCTTAGAGCTTTTTATATTATTCCCCACCAGACAGTCAGTTCAAAAGCACTAGGTCAGCACTCAGGAATACACACAAAACCTTTCTTCTCTTCCCCAGAGTTAGGCAGGCTGGGTAAGGTAGTATCCCTTCCCAGACCTGTGCTCTCATTTACAGAATGAGATAGTGAGGCTAAGTCACTTACAATCTCCGCACGCGTCCCTTTGGTTTTTTGAGACAGGGTTTCTCTGTGTTATAGCCCTGGCTGTCCTGGACCTCACAGAGATCCACCTGGCTCTGCCTCCCAAGTGCCGGAAGTAAAGGTGTGCACCACCACACCTGGCTGGACTTACAACTTCTCATGCAGCACTAACCACAGGGGCACATCCTAAGAGGCAGTGGACAGAAGACTAACAGGCGATGTAACACAAGTGCTCTTCCTTCAAAGCACAGCAGTAAGCACAAGACTACATCACAGTTCCTTCATGGAGGAAAAGAAGATGAGGAAAGCAGTGAAGCATTACTTCGGTTGTCAGTTACTGCGCCTGCTCCTCGATGAACACATGAGCCTTACCTTGTAGAGTTCTCCCCATATTCTTTTCGACTGCCCCTTTTTATATATCTCTTCTTGAGCTTCATTTCTAAGTGAGAAAGGAGCAGAAATGAGCAACTGAAGCACTATCAAGATTAAAAGGAAACAGTGGTAGTTCTAATCCCAGCTCTAAGATCTGGTAGACAGAGCTCTGTGACTTAGCCTAGTCTACACAGTTAACATTCCAGGCCAACAAGGGCTACACAATAAGACTTTGTCTCAAAAACAAACAAACAAACAAAACAAAAACAATAAAACAAAAAAAACACAAAACATATCAAAGGGAAGTATATCAAAGTGAATTTGCAAAGTCACTGTATCAGCGCTCCACCAGCAGATCAACCTGACATGGCGGTACACAGATACAATGAGTGGCTTAAAAAGGAAGGACACTGCCGGGTGTGGCAGTGCACGCCTTTAATTCCTGCTCTATGGAAGCAGAGAGCTCTGTGAGTTCCAGGCCAACCGGGGTTACACACAGTGAGATCCTGTATCAAAAACAAATGGGCTCGGGAGTAGGGAGCTGGAGTCATGGCTCAACAGTTAAGAGGGCTTACTGCTCCTCCAGAGGACCTGAGTTAATTTCCTAACACTAATATGGCTGGCTTGCAATTTTCTGTTTGGTCTCAAATGCCCTGCTTTTCTCTCTGTTGAGATGAGGTGGCAACAGAATAACACCACTGTAGTCTCCAGTTTACATGTTTCTATGAGACTGCCAAACTAGCCTGCACATTGTTAAAGGAATGTGGGGAGAACAGGAGTCCTCTAGCACTATCCAAGAGAAGCTAAAGCTTTCTCAAAGACAGGGTGGCAGCAGCTGCCTATCCAAAGTAGGCAGGAATTGTGATTTGACATCATGATTTCCTTCTCAATAATCCTGTTTGTTTGTCGGTTTGTTTTTTGACAAGTTTCTCTGTGTAGTCCTGGCTGACCTGGGAGCCAACTGCCTCTGTCTCCTAAGTGCTGGGATTAAAGGTGTGTGTACCACCCTCCCCACACCAGCTCTCCTGAAACTTACTCTGTGGACCAGGCAGCCTAAAACTCAGAGATTCACCTGCCTCTGCCTCCCAGGTGCAAAGATTAACTGTGCCTGGCTTGCCTCTCGGTAATCCTTACAGATGAGGAACAGTCAGTGTCACTGATGACTTCAGGGAGAAACTAGACAGCACAACTATCCCATAGCAAAGCTCACTACAATCAAATTCCACCAAGAAAAGGTCTATTTGTAAGTGGCACATGCCTTTAACCAAGCACTTGGGCAGCAGAGGCAGGAGGATCTCTGTGAGTTTGAGGCTACATAGTGACTCTACACACATAGTGAGTTACAGGCCAGCCAGGGGACCATATTTTACAAAAGAGGGATGGGGCAGGGGAACCCCTTTCAGCAATTTGTAGTCTTTACGTTATGGATCCTCACGAGAATGAAGGAAGCTAACAGTCTTTTCTCTCCCAAACAAATACAAAGTGAAAATAGAACAACTCACCACACAAAGGATGCATAGATATGAAACGCCATAATGAAACTCATTACTCTGTGCACTAATTTAAAAAATAAACAAAGGGCTGGCAAGATGGCTTAGTGAATAAACATGCTTTCTCCAAACCTGACAACCTGAGTCAGGTCCCCTGGACCCATGTGGGAGAAGGAGGGAATCACCGCCTCTGACCTCTCATCTACCACAAATATGCATACACAAAATAAAACACAAATTTTAACAAACAAACCCCATGACCTTTATGCAGGTTATCATTTTATAATATCATTTTTTATATTATCATTGGTGTGTCAGAAAAAGATCAACTATACACTGCAGTGGTCTAGAGACCCAGGAAGCCAAAGTGTCCATTTCCAACATAACTACCCTCTGAAATTTACGAATGACAGTGCACACCACTGACATAAAGAAGGAAACATTACTCTTTTTTCTTGGGAACGAAGAGGGGTATGTGGTGATGAAGCCATGTAAAAGTATTTTTGGTCTGGTCTCTACTGCATTGATGCCTTTAGTCTGAAGGATGAAGAAACTAGCTGTGTGTGCAATCACTATACCCTACAGCATCAGGAAGAGCTGAGGAAACACTCTGTAGCACAGCAGCAAAGATGAGAACCTCAAATGCGTACCTCACGCCAGTGTCCTCCATCACCAAATCACGGTCCTTGCCCTGGTCATAGCTCTCAGTAGACATTTCAGCGTTTTCTAGAAGGGACTGCATATCACTTGCAAACAAGTTTGGCCGCTTTCTCTGTGACTTTGGGCCAAATGTACTTTCAAAACTTTCAGTATCAAGAATGTGGACCTTTGCATTCTAAAAACAAAGAAGTGTAGGTAAGACTCGGGAAAGAAAAACACTTGAGCCAAAAGCAAAAGCTAAAAACCACCTGAGGAAAGATGTGAGTTTCCTTTTTCCAAAGCTCAAACCACACCAAAACCCACCAGAGCACAGACCCAGTGCGGTTTCACATCTGTAATGAGTGTTTATATTGCACAAGGGCTTCTTCTATTCTGAAATGCTGTGAGCTTCCCTGCAAGAATGTAAAGGTAACACAGACACCAAGAAAGAACAGCCATATGAGACTTGCCAAACCCTGCTTTCCTTCCTTCATCTGTCACAGACTCCAGTCACATGTAATCAGTACTACAACGATGAACATTAACTGATCTTTTCTGACCCTTTTGTGGAGCTTTCAAACAAGTGCATAAAATTCGCCAAATTCACAGGTTTTGTCAAGGACAATCAGTCAAAATTTGTGTGTTTTTTTCTTTCTTAAACCAACTGTAAATGCCAACTTTTTCTTGGAAATTAATTTCTCTCATGGCTAAAAGGAATTGCTTGTTTTATAAGATGCATTTTAGTTTCAGATAACATTTTCCCCAATTTAGGTAACGTTTTTATTAAATGCACATGGAAACGCTTCAGATGAAAAACATCTAGCAAAAGTCCAAAATAATAGGTTAGATGTGATAAAAGGAACCTGATCCTAACTAGAACTTGATGCGCTGTGAAGGAGCTACAGGCGTAGGAATTCTTGAAGCAAGATAAAAGTCAAAGCTGGAGTTAGGATCTACCATGTAACAGAATGTTAAAGGCTGCAGAGACTCTCCTTTAAAACAAAACACAACACACACCTTGCTCCCTTAGCACAGGGCCCTGAGTAAGCACCAGCTGGGGAGCTCATGAGTGATGGATCAGCCCCATGCCTTCCAAATATCACTCATGCTCCTGATCCTCCAGCTTCCTAGGGTCTTTAGGTGGCCTGGACTCCCTGAGCTCACAGCTTATATTCTCTTGCTAGCTTCTAACTGAGGAAATGTCTGTCCACAAGGAAAACTGCATTTTCTGTGGCAATGGGTTCTGAAGTCAATGAGTAAAAATTAAGTATGACTGGGCTGGAGAAATGGCTCAGTGGATAAAGACTGAGCTTAATCCCTGGAAGCCATGTTAAAAAAACTACACAAAAAGATGCAGTGGTGTGAGGAGATGCAGGAGATGGAGGGTGGAGACAAATGACACACAATCGTATCAATTATACAAATCAAGCACGAGCAAATATTATCCTCAGAAATCTTATAACTGGGCTGGAGAGATAGCTCAACAATCACGGACACATACTGCTCTTCCTGAGTTCAACCTCCAGTACTCATATGACTTGTCTGTCTCACAACTGCCTGCAACACATCCAACCCAGGGGTCTGACACCTCTAGTCTCCAAGGGCACTTGAACTGACACACACAGACACAACACACACACACAACACACACACACACACACACACACATTAAAAATCAAACCTTAAAAAAAAAATCTCATAATCTATGAAACACACGGTTTTGAACCAATAAGGTTACTTCCTGTAATACTACACAAAGAGCACATGCAAAGTTAGTTACACTATTTTTACTCCATTCTTACAGAAATATATTTAACACACAGAACTGAATGTGTAAAAGTTACAACCTATCTGATTTGATTCCCCTGTGCAGAACCATTTTAAGAACTAGACTCCATACCATGCCACAGCCACTCAATTAAAACAGAAAGAGTTTTGAAAGCCAACACAGAAAGCCCACCAATTATTCTGAGTATTTTCCCCCATCAAAACACAAGCTGAGCCGGGCGGTGGTGGTGCACGCCTTTAATCCCAGCACTCGGGAGGCAGAGGCAGGCGGATTTCTGAGTTCGAGGCCAGCCTGGTCTACAGAGTGAGTTCCAGGACAGCCCGGGCTATACAGAGAAACCCTGTCTCGAAAAAACCAAAAAAAAAAAAAAAAAAAAAAAAACACAAGCTGACTCCTGAAACTGAAGGTTCCTTCATTTCACACATCAGCTGTCTGAGCACTGACCAACCGGAGCAAGCAACAAAGTAATACATCCACAATAGAACCTCGCTCTTCCCAGAAATGGATTCAATAGTTGGTTAGAAGATGGCTTTAGGGAGAAGAGACAAAGAGAACAAGGGAAATGAGCAACTTGTCTGTGGTTCATGAATTACACTCATCTGTTTCCCTGAAAGGAAACAGTCACTCACTAATAGGTGCCATTCTTCAAGTCCATCATAAAACACAACATAATTGACAAAACCTGAGGCAATAGGCAGCCTGGCTTTTGATTTTTGTTCTGTAAGTAAACACTTTTCTTTGAACTGTTTAATCCTTGTATGAATGTCAATGTTTCCCTCCCCTCCTCAGACTGGCACTGAAGCATGTGCACTGGCTGGGATTCTGGGAATTATTATTCAATGCAAGTTTAAAATGTGCAGGCAAACATTAAGCCACTTCTTTGTTCTGTGTGAACTCCTTCTGCTCTGGCCAGAGTCAGCCCTTACCATAGTACATGACTCCAGCAACTGTCAATCCAACAGCACCTTTCCCGAACCTGAAAAAACCTCCAAGGAGTTCACAGAACACTGAAGTCCTTCCAGGTCGGCCTCCACTCTACATCTCTCAGAGATGATGGAACTAGCACTGACAATCCCAGGCAGTCCTATCCAGTCTGGCCTACTTAGTAAGTTCTAGGCCAGTGAAAGAACCTGCCTCAGAAAGGAAAAAAAGAAAAGGTGGATAGTGCCTGAAGAATGACAGTCAAGGCTATCCTCTAGCCTCCACTTATACGTGTGAATACACAAATGCACACACACATGCACAGACACACACAGACATAGACACATCCACGCACACATGCAATATTACTAATAGCTATCACCTCTTTAGCCTTGGGGAAAGTGTTGCATGCTTATTAGACCAGCCCTTACAGGTGCTTCAGCTGTATCCAAACATGAAAAGAGGCAAGTGTGCTCTTTATGGCAAGGAAGTTAAGATTCATGAGAACCATAACTAAGAACAGAGGAGGGCTGAGTGAAGATGGAAATTCAGGTCTCACTGCAAAGCCTTGTTTGGATCCACACAGTGCTGCACCTCCTGGGTCAAACTCAATTCACAGCCAGGGTGACAAAGGAGAGCACCTACAGCTCATAAAACCCTCCATGCTGCTTACGAAAGCCAAACACAAACTAAAGCAGTAGCTATCTGCCCAGAGCCGGCCCTAAAAACCACAGCACTGACATGGTACTTTGTCTTACATGAGGCTGGACTCGATCATGCAGAAGAGACATTGGTAATTTGCTTTGTTTCATGACAACTTTGTATGGATCCTTCATAACTTTCTCCATTTCCTCTTGAAATTTTTGTAATGATGCCTGCTTGATCACACGAGTATTTCCTGTTTCACAGATAGAGAACATGCCATTTAATATGGAGATTGGTTTTGCCTCTGTGCTCATCTTCTGACAGGGGAAGGCAAGTCACCAGGTCATTCTCAAGCCCCCACCCCCACCCCAGAGCCTGCACACTCATCACTCCTTAGAACTCTGCAAGCTTGAGAAAAAGGGGGAACACGCCTCTCTTGCACTCACACTGGGAATGCACCCACCAACTAAGACACATAATGGGTTCAACAGTTTTCGGAGTCCAGCTTCCTGACTGGATGAAACCAAAAATTAAACATCACTGAATGGAACTGAGATTTGACAAATGTTCCTGCCAGTCTGGCAAAGAAACCTTGAGCCAATCACAGCTGATCAGTTTGCACAGAGAAGGAACTCCAAACCTCAGAATTAAGAGGGCTTGAAGGGACTACTAAAGTAGCCAGGACACATGTGGAGATCAGAGGACAGCCTGCAGGAGTTGCTATCCCCTTTCCGCCTTCTACTCTGTAGGGTCTGGAGAGAGAACCTAGGCTGTGAGGCTTGAGGGTAACTATCTTCACCACTGAGCCTCTATACTGTCCCTCAAGTTTTTTGTTTTTTGTTTTTTTTTTGAGACAGAATTTCATGTCATCCAGGCTAGCCTTAAACCTCTGAATCTCCTGCCTCCAACTCTCATGTGTTAGGATTACAGGTGTGCCCCCATCACAACCATCTTGAGATACTCCCATTCTTATTCCAATTTTTGAAATTAGGAAATCAAGGGACAAAGACTTAATAACTTTGCTCTAGGCACATATACAACTTGATTCCAAATACCCAGCTCCATGGTAAATAATCCCTCCAGTCTTCTGTGACATACATACACATCAACATTTATTTCCTTTTCCAGTGATGAGGATGGATCCTAGGGTTTTCCATATCCCAGACAAGCACTCTCCCCAACCTCCCCCTATTCTGTCTTTGAAAAGAATTTTGAGTCTCTTTCTGTTTCGGTTCTTAGAGGGCAGCCCATTAAAAGGCATTAGACACAGTGACAGGCAGGGGCCACCTGCAGCTAGCACAGAGGTCAGATACCAGGCAAACAGTGACTATCTGAATATTACAGTGGAAAGCAGTGTTCCCAAAGAATCTCCAAACCTCCTGTGACTGCACAAACTCTTCTCACTCCTGCAATGACTAATAAAGACATCCACCCTGCCACTAGGTAAAGGGACCAGAGCACTCGCAAGGCCACTTCGTGTATAGCCATCTCTCCAGCCAACTAGAAACAAAGAGATGAACAGCCCAAGATCTGTATATGTTTCCATGAGGAAGTCCTAACTGCCTCTGTGCTCACTTCCAGCTAAGAATGAGCTCTCTTCCAAAGGAACAGTCTGAGGAGTCCAGCACTTTCGGTACCTCCTTGTCCATCCAGGAACTCTCCAGTCCCTTTTCATAAACAGTGGCAGTCTCCTGCACCAGAATCTTCTTTTGGTTGTTTCAACATACACTTTGTAGAGTAGAGACACAGGAGGACACTTACCAAACCATTTAATATTCGGCTCCACCCGTGCCACTGTGCCAGAAGCCACAGTTGACTGATACTGCAGTGGCTTAATCACTTTACCACGACTGTTCCTAAATTGAGGAAATAACAGATTTAGGTTGACGACAGAAGAAAGGCAGCAAGAGCACAGTCTGGCTCACGGATATGCTTTCCATCAAAAGGACTTTGGGGGGATTTAAAATGATCATGAAATACAGACTTCAGTAAACAAAAAGTCCTTCTACATTTGAAACAGATTGCCCCAAAGCCGTTTAACCTCTTGCAACAGAGCACGTAATGATTTCTGCTAGATGAGTAACAACACTGATGTTTAAAAATCCACTTACTGTTTGTTTTCTTTAAAAAAATCACATACTTGAGTTTTTTTGGTAATTATTTAAAGGCTGGTTTAAATGAATTTTAAGTCGAGGGTGATTTATCCTGGAACTCAAAATCCTAAAACAAACTGCAAAGCAGGCGACTGAGGCAGCTAGGTTACTGACGACTGTGTTTTACACACAACTCTCAGAAGAAACAAATCTAATTACCAAACAAATTAAGACCAGCTAGCAAAATGCCACTCTCAGCAAGTCCCTGGAGTGGAGGCTGCCTCAGCATAACTCCGGGCTGGGATGAGCATCTAGTGCCACAATGCTGTGATCTGAAGTCTGGCTCTAAAAGCCAAGTTTCCTGGCAGTTTTCGTAAGTAGTCTTATACACTTTGTACTTGTGGCTGACTGGCATCTAGCTGGGATTTGACACTGCACTGCTGGAGATCAGCGTAGGAGGAACAGGACAGCCACTTGCTGGGAAGTGTTAGGAAACAATCACTGCTTCACCATCTACTCCCCATCTACAGTTAACTGTATTAACTGTATCACCACAGCAACACTCCTATGAGATGGCATTTGAAAACATCCTACTCCTATATGGAGAAAGTAGGGGTGGGAATGAAGCCTTAACAGGTCTCAGTTATAAATCCAGGGCACGAAGGAAAGGGAAGGTTGGCTGTACCCAGTGCTCACCTGCGTTCTTTTTGCCTGTACATATTCAGGCGCCGAATTGTGCCCCGGTCCCTCATATTTTGACCTCCAGCTCCCTGTACTCGATCTAGAAATAAACAATAAACCTTTTGGTATCCAGTAACTATTAAATATAGCCATTGTTTAAAATGTGCCAACCACATTTAAGCTAACCTTACAAAAGAATTATCTACTCTCTCCATACGGTGCTCCAATAAATAACTATGAGCAATGTGCTATGTCAAAGCTGGGCTCCACCTCTGAACTTCCAAAAGTACTGTATTTGACAACATGATGCTAACATCACCAGTCTTGATTCTGGCACTGGCAGCATGCTCCCCTCTACCGGCCTCATCTCAAGCCACACAACAGTCATATAAAGAACTATTATGTTATGCCTTGCTACTAAGACACAGTGAGTGGTCACATATGGCTGCTAACTGGCAGTCAGAACTTTAACACAAGCATTTGATACATTCTGTACTCTCAACTACAAAGGACACTGATAGAGGTCTCAGTTTAACAAACATATAGACTAGGATAAAACAAACAAACAAAACCAACAATAACAAAAAGAAGCAAAAAATAGGCGCTGGTTAAGAGCACTGGCTGTTCTTACAGAAGAGGTGGGTTCAGTTCCCAGTACTCGTGTGACAGCTGATTCCAGGGAATCTAACATCCTTTTCTTGCTTCGGGAGGCACCAGGCACATACAGTGGTATACACATATACATGCATACAAAACACAAATACACATAAATTTTTTGAATCTTAAAAAATAGTTGCAAAATTGGCAAAACTGAATAAAAAAGAAATGGGGGGAGGGGACTATCTTCAAAGAATCATCCTGGAGTTAGCATGCACTCTCCAAACCATCTGTCTTTTTTATTGGGATATTTGAGACAGGGTCTCACTATGTAGCTCCAGCTGGCCTTAAACTCAGAGATCGGCCTGCCTCTATCTTGAGTACAGGAATTAAAGCAGTGAAGTACCAGACCCCACCCTATCCCCCTCATAGTTCTCCATCTCTCTCCTTTTTGGTTTTCCAAGACAAGGTTTCTCTGTGTAGCCCTGGCTGCCCTAGAACTCACTATGTAGACCAGGCTGGCTTCAAGCTCAGAGATCCACTTGCCTCAGCCTCCTGAGTGCTGGGGTTAGAGGCATATGCCATCATGCACAGCTCTGAACCCTTTCTTAAATAAGAACTTCAAGGACCATCCTGAGCTGCAGCAGAAAGAGCCCCACAAGAGGACTTTAGAGCACACTCAGGCATTCATCTAGACAACTCATAACTCAAGATTCTGCCACGTGGGAATCTTACTCTTCTCATTTAACTTGCCTTGCACCAGAATGAAAAAAGTATCTGTGGCAAGAGAAACTTTGGAATATCAGACATGAAGGTTCTCACTCAGCCTTATAGAAACTGATTTTTCAGAATTCTGGTGCTTTTATTTCTCTAAAAAAAAAAAAAGGAATATGTAAGTGAAAAAGTGGGGGGGAGTTATGAAGACAAGAACTTTAAGTGCCACTGTGGGAGGAATTTAGTGCATTGGGCATTTTTTGTTTTTGTTTTTGTTTTTTTTTTTTGAAGACAGGGTTTCTCTGTATAGTCCTGGCTGTCCTGTCCTGGAACTCACTCTGTAGAGTAGGCTGGCCTCGAACTCAGAAATCCGCCTGCCTCTGCCTCCCAAGTGCTGGGATTAAAGACATGTGCCACCACTGCCTGGCGGGCATTTTTTTTTTTAAGACAGGGTCTCACAATGTAACTCTGGCTGTCCTGTGTCCTGGAACTCAGAGGTTTGCTTGCTCCTGCTTTCTGAGTGCTGAGATTAAAGATGGCACCACTATGCCTGGCTACCATTTAATTTTTAATCCTCAATCATACTCTATAATGGTTACGTAAATCAGTACCCACCTTTTAAAAAAATCTGTCTAAATGCTACTGTGTCCACAATAATCATGTAGTTAAATGGGTAGAACGCTTGCCTAGGACTCCAAAGCCCTGGGTTTGATCCCTAGCTCGGTACAAACCAGCCATTATGGCACAGCTATTAATTCCAGTACTAGAAATGAGGATTAGAAGATAGAAGACAGTGGCTGGAGAGATGGTTCAGCGGTTAAGAGCAGTGACTGTTCTTCCAGAAGTCCTGAGTTCAAATCCAGGAACCACCTGGTGGCTCACAACCATCTATAATGGGATCCAATGTCCTCTTCTGGTGTGTCTAAAGACAGCTACTCTGTGTGTGTGTGTGTGTGTGTGTGTGTGTGTGTAAAATAAATCTAAAAGAAGAAGAAGAAGAAGAAGAAGAAGAAGAAGAAGAAGAAGAAGAAGAAGACGACGACGACGACATTCTTGGCCAAACGGTGAATAAGAGGGGACACACTGAGTCTCTGTCTAAAAATAAATTAAAAGACTGGGCCAGAGAGACGGCTTAGCAGTTAAGAAAACTTGCTATTTTTGCAAAGGACCTGGGTTTAGTTCCCAGCACCTGCAAGGTGGCATACAACCATCTATAGGGGTGAATAGAGTGTACATTTTATGTAGGCAAAACTCAGATATAAAATAAAGTGTTTTTTTTTTTTTTTTCCGAGACAGGGTTTCTCTGTGTAGCCCTGGCTGTCCTGGAACTCACTCTGTAGACCAGGCTGGCCTCGAACTCAAAAATCCACCTGCCTCTGCCTCCCAAGTGCTGGGATTAAAGGCATTCGCCAACACCTGTCTTAACTTTCAAGGAATGATGATAGTTTCTAAAAGTTGGGTTAAATTCCACACAAATCATGGCTTATAGGACTGATGATACCCACAGCTTCTGAGGTTAGAAGCAGCATATCTAGAAACCTTCTTTGTAAATTCATAACTAGTCCTCTTGTCCTAAATTTTTAATAATTCTACTTATTTACATTTTATGTATAAGTATAATATGTAGATATGTATGTACCAATATGTATAAATATATCCTTATCTGTGCACCAAGTACACAGAGTGTCAGAAGGGGGTGGCAGATCTCTTGGAACTGGAATTACAGATGATTGTCAGTATCATGGGTGCTGGGAATCACACCAGGTCCTCTGCAAGAGCCGCCAGCACTCTTAACCCCTGAGCCATCTCTCCAGCCCTTCCCACTCTAAATTTTAAAAGAGAACCAAAAATAACACTAAACCCCGGGAGCGCTCTACTGAGAAGTTCACCCACACACATCTGGCTATGTATCCTTTTCCTGAATCTCTTTCTACTAATTCTCAAGGCTTCCATCTACACTTTCCAGCTGTTGATAAACTTAATCTCTGTTTAGAAACAACATCAAACGAATCACCAACCAATCCTACATATATTTTCCAAATGCACGGTATTATATAACTAAATACTGTTATGAAAGACAGCAAAGTAATGCAGCAACTTTTGTGTGTATTCTCATTTAGTGCCTCTACATAAGCAGTGTGCTTGGGGGCTTTTTTTTTTTTTTTTTTAACTATACGGATGTACGTGGGTAGATGCCTTGAAGGCTAGAGGTATCAGATTCTTGGGAGTTGGAATTCTAGGTAGTTGAGAGCTGACTGAACTGGGTGCTGGGAATTGAACTCTGGTCCTCCTGCAACAACAGTCCGAGTGAACTCCTATTCTCCTGGTGTTCTAAGGGTTGTCATCGTTTTTTAAAAATCTAAATAAAAATCTAATTATTGAAATTACAAGGAACTACTGAAGTCGGCTATCCTTGCAGCTTTATGGAGACAAGAGTATACTTAATTTTTTTTCCCTCTAGTTTGAGACTGTCTCACTATGTAGACCAGGCTGACCTCGAATTCACAGAGATCTGCCTGTTCTGCCTTCCCAGTGTTGGGAACTACAGGTATGTGTCACCAAGCCCCTCTATGCCTAAACCATATTTAAACACAGTTTTAGTAACTAAATCAAAGTGGGAGGGACTCCTCGAAAGCCTGTTTTGTTCACCCTGTAGATGGGGATTTATCCTATCTCAACAACACCTCCATTGATATCGTTATATTTACCTGAAGTGTTGCCTATGCCTCGTCTGATTCCAAGGGCCAATGCTAGTAGCAATTATCACTTACATGGTCAAAGCTAAGGTGGCACGAATGTTATGGTTAAGGGTAAAAGGCCCCTTGGGCCAACCTACTTTGTGTTTTCAGAGTTTATGACCTGTAGTCCAGGTAGCCTCTAACTCGCGGTCCTCCTGCCTTAGCTTTCTAAGTACTGGGATGATAGGCGTGTGACAGGACTCCAGGATTCTAGTCCACTTTTAACTTGCCTTTCTCTGCACCTCTGCCTGAGAGGCCTCACGGTTGCTAGAGGCTGGCGTGACTTATCCCTCAACTTTAGAGTAGGTGCCCAAACCCCGTGCCGGCCGCACAGGCCGGGCCTTTTTCCCCCGAAGGCTCCGGCGGCCTGGTCCCGCCCGGTCCGCCGTACCTGGGTTGGTGCTGGCCGCCGAGCGGTTGATGGTGCTCCGTCCTTTGTACTTGGGCTTTACCATCCTGCCGACAGTACCGACACTGCTCTGCTACTCGCGAGGTAAACCACTTCAGAACTTCCCAACTAGAAAAGCGCCCTAAGTGAAGCACGTTGGACCCCGAACACTCGCGACGTCACTTCCGCTCGCGCCACGCGACTTCCTGGGAGCGTGCGGCACTTGCATAGGGCTGGCCCAGCTCCGCCTCTGCCCTGCTCCCGCCTCCTCTTGGTCTAGCAACCGCTGAGCGTCCCTTCCATAGCAACGTCCTGGGCACCTGGCAGCCCTGGGGTCTTAGAGAAAGAGCGAAGTCTCTTCTTAGGCCGATGCATGAGATGCTGGGAATTTTCCCTCTGAACCTTTCTGAAAGTGCGCCAGCAACAGCAAGCAAATATCAGAACAGGTCATCCCCTTCCTTCAAATGTTAGGCTGGAGTAGAGCAGTTACTACTAAGCAACAGACTTTGGGTTCAAGCCTCAGCTTAAAAAAAGAAAGAGAGAGAAAGAGAAAGAGGAGAGAGAGAGAGAGAGAGAGAGAGAGAGAGAGGAGAGAGGAGAGAGGGAGGAGAGGGGAGAGAGGAGGAGAGGGGAGAAGGGAGGAGAGGGGAGAGGGGAGGAGAGGGGAG